GAGGGAGTTTACTAAAGCTGGTGGGTCTGTGAGGCCAGCAATATTGGCGATGATGCACAACAAGGTGGTTGTGGAGGCTGGGAAGGGGTGAAGTGCAGTGCAGCCAGTGAAACTGTGGGTAGATGAGAGAGACTGGAGTGGCCAGCAGCCTGGCGAGGCGGGCTGTTGTCCAGCATTTGGGAGCAGCTGTAGTGTTGGCCATTGAGGTCATAGAGATATACACAACTTATTATGAGGCTGATTTTGGTCTCAAAACCAGATACCCTCATAGTCTTTAATGGAGGAGTATCTCACACAAAATGCAGTTACCTCCCCACACTAAGGGCCAACTTCTGTCCCTATTTATGCCCAAGCAACCCCACTGATGGATTCAGCAGTGTATTAAAGAAGCCAGAAATTATCCCTAAAAGCCTGTAGGGCTTTGGCTACTGTGAGGAGGAAAGGGAAGGTCCCTGGATTTCAGTTGTGTTTCTGCTTCTTTCTGAGACCAGGCCTGTGGCAGATTTCTGCAAGAGAGTGGTTAACCTGACAACTCACGGTGTTTTGCCTGAGGGATGACTTACAAGATGAACTGATGCTTGTCCCGTTGTCATTGGTACAGAGATGAACGAATTGAATTGATGTTCCTCTCATGTACTAGTGACAGCTGCTGCTAGAGGTCTTAGTGTCAAAAGTAAAAGGCTTCAGGGTGGAGACAAGGGAAAAAGAAAGAAATGTGGGTTAAGTCCCACTCTTACCTTGTTTCAGAGAAATCAAACTAATACACACTAGGATAACTAACATCAGAATTGGTCTTAACATGTCGCATTGTCTGCATTAGAAAAAAAAACAAACAGCTGGAAGTAATCTTGTGTTTCCACAGCTGAAGAAGTGTATTTTAAATGGATAGTCTTGGATTATTCTTAAGTGCTTGTGGGTACCTTGGTTTTCTATTCTGTTTGGTGACATTTTTCCCCTCTCTTAAAAAGGAAAGCAAATAGGTCAACACTTCCTGTCTCCCAGCAATCAGCAGAAACGGCTTTAGAAGATTTTAATGCTGTTATCTTTAAAAGAGGATAACATTGCTGTCTGACTCATAAGCAGGAAACCTGGGAGTTTCAATTATAGTTAAAAAACAAAACAAACAAAAAACCCAACAAAACCATAATAATAAAAGATAAGGCTCCTATGCTACATCCTGATATATCGGATGAATGCCTGAGGTGCAGTGAAGTTTTGCCATCTAAATATATCAAAGCTTTCCAGGATGACAACATTAGATTTCCTAGATTAATGTTCTCCAAAGACAGTAATGATCTTTTTTTTAAATAGATTTCTAAGTCAATTGACATTTTATAAGCATGATACACAACAGAACAAGACTAAAGATGAGTAGCTACAGAACTCAGTTAACAATGGCTCCTTCTAGGAGGCATGCCACCATCCCTGTTATAATTTCCTTAAGAAGTGAACCAGTGTGGTCAGTGTTTATTGGACCCAGATGTTGTTTTGTTTTGGGGGGAGTGAGGGGAACTAGGGACAAACTGGTTATTCTCACACAATATTCTTTATGTCATGATATTCTAATGTTGGTGTTCTTGTCTTTATGTCTATGCATTCTTTAGCTATGAGGATAACAGACCCTTCATCAAGTAAGAATGACCTGAATGGCTGATAAATTCCATTTATCAGTGTGGTCCCATGAACCAGCTATCAAATCAATATTGAAAAATCATTAAAGCTTCTGTCATTCACATTTGAGGCAGAAGAGCAAACTGTGCAGGAAAATGGCCAGGCATACAACTAAGATGCAGAGTAAATGTGCTGCATATGTATTGCCAAACAATTGTCACTTTGTCTGCTTCACATTTCTTGATTGGACATCACGCAATTTCAAGGCAAATGCTAAAAGCAATCTGGTGTCGTACAGACTTGTTATATCAATAGCAGCTCTCTGTTTCACTGCACTTTCTCCCTCCATGCATTTGAGTGTGTTGAATTTGTTGATAATAATGGTTTTGGCTCTGGATCATTAATGCAATTTAGAGGTAAATTTTCAATGATGCATGGGTATTAAGCCACATGACTCCCATCAAAGCTAATGGAGGTGGCACAATTAAACTCCTGTGCAGTGCCGTGGAAAAAGTCTTCCTAAAGACTGGAATATCCAGTTGTCACAAATTGTAAATTGAAAGCTTTCAATCATGCTGACATTTGATGTTCTGTTTCTTTATTTCATAAAATTGAATTATTAAGAAAAAAGAGTGTAAAAAACCTGCAGCAGAAATACAAGTCTGTACAAAGAGTGCAAAATGTAAAGGAAGCAAGAAGCACATACAAATTATGCGCTGTTTATCTTAAATCTTTTATCCTGCAACCAAAAAATAAACCATAAGTAGCACAATGGAAGCATATCAACTTTGCAATAGACTTTCAGTTTGTTCTTCTGGTGAAGAGTCCTTTGTGTTCATTTTTCCAGTACCATTATCATATTCTCTGTCACTCTTCAGTTCTTTTGTTCCAAGGATAGGGGATGGAGCATTTTTATGCATTCTCCACCCTCTCTTTACTCCAGGTCTGTTTTCTGCGACATAACAATGTAATATTGTACAATTTGTGCTGTGTGACACTTTAACGTAAAGATTACTTTCAGATACTAAGGCAGCATAGTTCTGCTTCTCTTCTGTTAACTGATTCACTCTTTTCTGCAGACCTCTGTAATCAGAGGCTTTTAACTCGGACTCAAGAATGCCGTAGATTTGGCATGAGAAAATTTTCCAGTAACTGTTAAAAAAACCCAAAATGTACAGTGGCAGTGGAAAAAAATAAACCATTCAATTTTTGTAAATAAAAAAATGGCTTGCAAATAAGATCTTAATGTGGTTTCATTGATGATAAGAGTTTTGGAGGGAAAATATATAAAGCAGTTGAAGTATTTAACTTTATGAAGTGGCTATCTTTCAAAAGGATTTTGAGAGTGCATTTTCAATTTGCATAGCACTAAATATTTATTTGCAGGATTGACTGGAAATGCTTCAAAGGAGCTGTTCTAGTCTACTAGATACAAAATAGCTATTTATAAAGCTGCCTAAGTATGCAGTTAGCTCAGGGAGCTCTTCTGGTCTTATGGATAAATACTACTTTTATGTACTCCAGTGGAAGTTATAAATACTGCATTTCCTTTCTAATATTTAATAACAAGAAGAATCACTAATTGGTCAAGAATGTGCTCCTGTTTGTGATTGACCCAGAAGAAAACAAAGGAATCCAAAGTAAAGGCTCATTTGTTGTCCCAGTGCCATGACAGAAAATTGGTTTGTCTGGCTGCAAACAGCTCAGCTTTGTCAGAAGACTTTTTCACCAGTTCCTTCCTGCCCTTCCAGCTCAACCCTCTCCTGAGCAGAGCGCAAACTCAGCAGAGTCTATGTTCAGGACAGGGTTTTGACATCCCTAGTGACAGCTTAGTTTGAAACTTAGCTGGGTTCTCTGTGGACCTGCACCCTGCAAGTCCCTCTCCCCAGCATGTGTTCGTAGGAGTTCATATCCGTTGTACTCTGGGGCTGGTGCAAGTAGTAGGCAAGGGCAGGAGCCCAAATCAGATGATGGCCAAGTTAGTTAAGGTAGCTGGCTGTCCCTCCAGAGATGTGAACTTAAATCCCATTGCTCTGAGTCCTGCTATGAGTGGTTCCCTGGCTATTTGCATAGTGGAAGAAAGCCCATAGCCCCTTTTAAGGACAAAAGGTTAAAAAGTGTAGGGAGGTAAGAGGAGAATGAAAGTTTCCAAAGGGGATATGTTCTCAAGTCCCCTTAAACCTCCATCCTTTTGACACTGGAATAATTCTATTCACTTCAGCAGAGTCCTCCACATTTACATCACTGTGTTAGAAGGAAACTAGGTCCATGAACTTAAAGATGATCTTCACCATGCAAATGAAGCTATTAGCTTTATCTCTGCCCTAAGCAGTAACACTCTATTTCACACCTGATCCAGCCCTTGACAAAGGCAATGTGATATAACTCCCACTGATTTCAGTGGGTATTGGAATGAAACCCTAAGGCAGAACGTAGTTCTTATCAACTCTTTGTTCTATTCAATGTACTTTAGGACACCCCCATGGCCTGTTCTAAAGAAGCAACCCCTCAGTATTAGTTAGTGTTTCAAGTTTCAGTGCATTAGGGAATAGCTTTTCATTCCTCAAGAAAAAATGTAACCTATTGGCCCACCTGTGTCTTCCAAATCTGCTTGCCCTAAGTAGTTTTCACATCTCAGAAAAGAGGCTGAGAACCAATGCGTAGAGTCGCTTCTTGCCCTTACAGACCATCCTGTTAATCCAACTGCAAATGATCTGGAGTGGTGTGGGGAGCGCTCATGCATTACAATATGTTTCTTTCCATCACAGTAAATTCTGGAGTAGAAGCACAGAGAGCTTTCCCTACACAAGGCGAATCAGGTGGGCCAAATCCCAGGAATTGCCCAGGTGTTTTTAGTTATTTTATGTTCCTGCAATTGGAAATGGTGAAATTGCAGAGAAAATGGACCTAGGCAAAGTGCTGGAATAAATTTGCCTCAGTGTTGAACAGGGAGCATTTAAATAAGCTAATCCAACTGTCACTGTTGCACTAGTGAAACCAATAGAGGCTAACAAAACAACTCCTTAATGTTAGTCCTTAGTGTTGCTTTTTCTTTCTTTTGCCAGCCATTTGCAGAAACAGCATCTACATATCATTTACATGCACACTGCTACTACATAAAAAAGTTTATGGTACAAATCTGCTTTGGATCAGATAAATTTCCATGCTCATAATATTTTCATTTATGTATCTTTCCTCAAGCTTGAAGGCTAGTAAACTGCATCCAATTCACGGTGTTGTCAAAAAAAAAAGTCAGATAACTTTATCAGATATATATTTTTTCTGCTGCTAGAGCGATAACAGAAAGTAATCACTGCTAGGAGATGTGTGAATTCCTATATGGATCAAAGACCAATTCTGTTCTGTATTTGTTTTGTTTCTCTCAACAGGTCATGGGTTATAGGTGCAATAGCTCTGCTCTGCCTATTAGGACTGACCTGGGCCTTTGGACTTATGTATATTAATGAAAGCACAGTCATCATGGCGTATCTCTTCACTATTTTCAATTCTCTGCAGGGAATGTTTATATTCATTTTCCATTGTGTCCTCCAGAAGAAGGTAAGACAGATTATTTCATGCTGAGGAGTCAAGGTACAGGGTATTTTGTTACCTAACAACCACAGAATAATATTACCTTTGTGCCTTGCATTTTTATTGGACAGACTTGTTTCTGTGCACCTAATAAGGGCTTTGTTTAGATTAGAAATCAAAGAGATGCATGGGAATGAGATGATGAATCACATGCATAGCACTTGCATACCAACAATCATGATGCTCAAGATCAGAAAACTGAATACAATGCAAAATCCTGTCATGTAGTCTGGAAAAGGAATATATATGACCTATTAAAGCTCTTTACATTTTTATAGGCCTGATTCTATATTCACTTACACTAGTTGTACACTGGAGCAGTTCCTCTGGCATCACTGGAGAAATCAGTGATGAAACTAGTAACGTCATTGGTGTTACTTCAGAGTGGTTTGGTCATAAGTTAGAGATGAGTGGGGCTTTTTATCTTCATGTTGATTCAAAGAACCATGTGCTCTTAAATCCCATTGTTACTTTGGGGGGAATCTCCTGCTTAGTAATCACAATAAGTACTTGTTGATTGAAATGAATATATAAACATCTTTCTTTTCTAATAACTGGAAGCTAGACTAAGTAACCTGTAGTCAAGATTTATATCTACCAAACGTATATACATTATCATTCCAATGATGTGTCAAGGTCAAAGGGCCTTCCAGGCCTAATGACCCGTATGGCCAGTGTGGTTAAAATGCACCAGTTTCTGTAGCCAGCAGTACACAAGGGAGTGATGTGGTTAGGCTCATGTTGAGCTACCTTTGATTCCCTGCTCTGAATGACTAGATTACCATTGCAGCTGGTTAGACTATGGGTGGCATTTAATTCTAGCATGTGGTTTGAACTCATGCCTTTTAGTGGTCTTATCCACTCTGCCCCATCCCACAATGTTTGAGTCATAGAAAAATAGTGTTGCTACACATTACACTTTAGGATGTGTTAACTACAATTAAAATGTGAGCATCGGTACATTCAAGCAGGAAAAAATGTGCTAAGTGCTATCATATGGTTGAGGGATATTGGTAGACAACTCCTCTATCCCAAGAGTTGTGTCCTCATATGGTTGTAAAAGTAGGGCTTTTGGGGCAGGGAGGAGACCCAAATTATATTAAATTATGTACCACGCTATCATAGGATTGCCCCATGGAGATACGAGCAATCCTCAAAGTTGATTCAAGACTCAGGTGTGGTGTGGGAGCTGGGATCAACAGGCAGCTCTTTATTGGTGTGGGGGATGGAACTGACAGACAGCTGGTTGTCAGTCCCAGATTCCACACCTCACTGAAATTTTGCACCAGCTTTGGTGCAGGCAGGGCTGGGACCAACAATTAGCTGTTTGTAGACTGTACAGCCAGCTCTAGCCCTGTCCACAGGACTTAAATCTTAGTAAGTATTATTGTATGACTGTTCAGAAAACCTAACTCGTAGTTATGCTTTCCTGCAAACTAAATAAAAAACACATGCTAAGTGCCCTACGTGATAAGGCCCTAATTGTGGACTTCAGTCTTGCATTGTAACTTATGTGGTTGACTTCTTGCCACAGAGTTCACAATATAGGATTGGGATCTTGTTGAAGTTTGAATCTCTTCTCCAATGAGTTGTCCAGAAGTTTGATTCTGCGCCATACAAGTCAATGGGAAGTTTCCCATGCACTTGAATGGGAGTAGGAATGGAAGGGAGCTAGTGGAAAATGAGCAGAAAATAGTGCAAAAAACAGTTTCAAAGCCATGCCTTGATCAATAAGCTCTGTAGAAGAATCTTGAGAACAGACTATCCTAAACTGTTAATCTTTAGAATTGAAGATAGAATTCTGGATTTAAATTTTTGTTCCATGTCATGCCATGTCATGTCATCTCAAGCTCATTTATTATAACAGGCCTATGAGCATTACTTAAATCCAAATTCTCTGATAATGATACTACAACTTCTCAATTTTCAGCAAGATGATAACAAAAACAATAGGAAGATCTTATCTACGTTAAAGAATTGGATCTTTATAACATAGCACATGCTATAAGGGGCATCTTTAGACATGTGTGATACTTCACCTGAGATGTCATAAGTATTCTAGGGTTTCCCTCCTAACTGTATGTACCTGCTTTTGTAAGTCTTACCCTAAAACCATATTGTTGCCAGTTAGAATCTCAGGTAGTGTATCACACTTTCACTCTCTTTAAGATATAGATTGTTTTTAAGCATTTCTTTAAGATAAGAAATTGAACAGATGTAAGCATATGCATTTACTCATATGTCAAACCTTTGTTACTATGTTTATATGAAGCACATGATGCATTCTACTATTTTGATGATAATGGCCAATTCAGCAAGATATTTAAGCTAATAACCTATTTTAAGTGGGTAAGTAGAGCTATTGAAATAAAGGCTATTCATATGCTTAAAGCTAATAATGTTACAGGGCTTGTCTACATGAGGAAGTTAATGCACAGTGAGGTCTGCCATGGTTTTTGGCAAATATGGACACACTTAGGGCACATGCTCTTTCACAGCAGAGCAGTCACTGTACTCAAAGCCAGTCTCAGTGCATACCACCATGCATATTCACACAAGGAATTAGTACTGTGAAGTTAGTGCACCATAAA